TGCTACCAATAATGTTAACACATAAAGTAGAAAAAGAAAACATGAAGTAACACAATTTTCAGATAAGATCTTTATACTTCTCAGACACAGAAAGATCTAGAAGCAGATTTTAATTCCTGTAAGTATTTTTTAGACCTAAACTGACTGTCCTGAGTTCCAGGAGGTTGAAAATCCCTATTATTTATTCCTGTAGTAAATGTCCATTTCATACTGAATATGTAAATTCTTAAACGACTTCTAGTGATTTCATTTGGCTTGTAAGTAAAGATCTTGGATGTTTTTAAAGCTGCATAATGTTTGGTGACGAAATTTTGTACTTATGAGTATAAATTATGCCAAAAGCCATTTACTTGATATTCTTTAAATACCATGGCACAATTCAACTAAACTCAGATTATAAACCATCTTAAATAACACTAATGCAGTGTGCACTTAATGAACACTATAGCCAACTTAAGTTAATTTTCATGTAACAGATAACATCTGGGGGAAATGTATACTGGTAAGTTATGCAAAACAAATTTTCTAGCGACCACATCTGTAGATGTTATTTACTGTATGTTCACGTAACAGTTCATTATTCTATTTAGAAATCTATTCTCTTCTTTATTAGAGCTTTTAATGTACTCACCTTAGTTCAAATGGTCTGCTCATTATCAGAAAAAATATAAATGGCATTCACATGGAACAACATGATTGTTTTTATTATATCCATTTGTGTGCAAGCATTCAAAAATGGCAAAAGAAACACATTTATTGCTTTACATTCAAAGTAATATTTAGGGGGTATTTGAAAGTCAGGCAAAACCAATCATTTGGTCAAATGATGCACGTGTGTAATCAGAAACTCCTGATTTTTAATCCCAGCATTAGGCCTCAGGCAAATCACTTAAAGTCTTTCTCTTTGTTTTCTGATCTGAAGATTATGGGTGCTATTCTCTTTTAGACTAAAAGAGGGGGTTGCTAAACCAGAGTACCAAATAGTATTTTTTTATAAACATACTTTATCCCTTTTCTGTTTTTATTTTTCAGATTTAAGAGGTAACATATTATACTTTTGAGGGAAAAAATATGAGACAATTACAGTTCTACAGGAATATATAAAATAGTTATAAAACTAGTTTAATTTGCTTCAGCTATTCATAGACTTGAGGAAATTATAACGTTCTTTCAGAAAATCTAACTTAATAAGCTGACTATGTCTTTCTGTTTTAAATAGATTTTATTACAGAACCAGTGATGTTGTAAAACATGAGGTTTTGTTAAAAAAAAAAAAAACAAAGGCCTAATTGTATTTTTTAAAGAAAGTATTGCATCAGACGGTTTCATTTAAACATATTTGCTGGCTCTGTGCTCTCACCACAATTATTGATTCTAATTTTCCTTAAACTTGTTTTCTAAAAAGGCTACTTAATGAGGAAAAAAATCACTATGATGCTTCTGGGCACTATGTTTATTTCAAGTATATATTTGAAAATGTACTTTCGTATTACTAATGAAATGACTTTACATTTACCCTCATCTGAAATGGGGACATTTCTCTCCCTTATGGTATCTTACTAATGTAACCAAATATAGACTCTCTGTGAAAGAAAAACATAGCTGTGGTTTGGTTCATTGATAGTATGCAAAACACCCTGAAGTAAAGAAATCCTCACTGCCAGTTATTGTACATGAATCAAATAAATGAATAGCTGTATGAGCTACACTCATAAAAATCAAGGAAAAGAAAGCCTAGTTCTGAGTCAGAGGTTCAGGTTCTTGGGATAAATAGGAGCTTCACCCCACCAAAGAAACGATGATGTGGAACTGAGGAGTTCCAAGTTTCAAAGTAGGTGCCCAGTACACATACACATGCACACATGCACACACATGCACCAGTGCCAAAGACTAGCGAAACAGAGGAGTTGGAGTTGGCAAGCAGTTCAGATAAACTTTATAAAGAAATCCAGACCACAGGGGATTTAAGGAATAAAATAAGATCCGTGAGCACAAATATCTGTTTGCTCTAAGTATTTAAATGTATAATTTGTTGGAAGAAAGGATACAGGTGGGCAGATGGTAGAATTCTCTACTACCAGGTTGGAGATGTGATCTATTGATGACTTCCACCAAAGGGGAAGAAAATTAGCAGAAAGTCTTAGCCTGTGTATGGAAAACTATACCAGCAAGACAGATATGGCAAAAGCAACAAGATAAAATTCTCCTTCATTAAAAGAAAATACTTTTACCTTGCAGGTTATCTCCTGCTTACTTTCTCAGTGCCTGTGGCAAATCAAATAAATTCCAGTCAATTCCTTTCTATCTTCTTTTTTCAATGTCTAACTCACTACCACTCCCCTCAAATTTATAGCTTCACCCTATATTAAAGTCAGCTTTAGTGAATTTAGTCTCCTTTAGTCAACCAAGTAAATACCTCATTATCTTCCCTTGTCTCTGGATTCCTATATACAGCTTATTTATTTTATTTATAATGTTTCAGAAGACACTAAAATATATTTAATTATTTCACTTTTCTAGCTTAGTAAAATAAAGTGCAATATAAAGTGTAGGAGGATAAAAAAGCAAGCATGCTGAAAAAATGTACAAATAATTTTGTGAGGAGATGAAAATGCTTGGATGTCCCATTTAGGAAAAAGAATATTTTCCTAATGTGAAGAGACAGAAAGATTATTCTGATACAGCTTTTTCGATCTTCTATTTTTATTAACATTTAGTCATCTTGGTCAATTTAGGATGAATAATCTGGAATGATGTCATCTAACAGAATAAAGATTAAGTGCTTAATAATATCAGCAACTTCCAAATGCGGCAACATGAGGACATATTACAGTTTACTGAAAACGGCATAGGCCACAAAATCAGCACACCAGGGCTTAACTCCTAGCCCTGTCACCAAGTAATTATTTGACCTTAAGCCAATCATTTAATCTCTTGATTTCCAAATTGCCTTGACTGTAAAGTTGTAACACTTCAGGCCTTATATATATTTATACCAAGCAGCAACTTCCTATAAGATCAAATTAAAATTAGTAATACAAATTCAAGGCAAAATATATTGGTATGACCAGGCAATAACCTAGCCTTCAGTTCATTCCAAAACCTATCTAAATCAAAAGTTGCTGCTGCTAAGTCACTTCAGTCGTGTCCGACTCTGTGTGACCCCATAGACGGCAGTTCACCAAGCTCCCCCGTCCCTGGGATTCTCCAGACAAGAACACTGGAGTGGGTTGCCATTTCCTTCTCCAATGCATGAAAGTGAAAAGGGAAAGTGAAGTCGCTCAGTCGGGGCCGACTCTTAGCGACCCCATGGACTGCAGCCTAACCAGGCTCCTCCGTCCATGGAATTTTCCAGGCAAGAGTACTGGAGTGGGTTAAATCAAAAGTATTAGTATGTAAAAGATGAAGTATTATAATATGTGGAACAGTTAGAAATGAATATGATGATTTCAGGGTTTTTCCAGGCCCCATGGGATAGTAATTATTTGGTGTTTTGGCATTTCTAGATTATTGTCTTAAAACTTGTAGTCACTTTATTTTGTTTTTTTGTCTGCATCTGGTCTTAGTTGCAACACTCTGTCTTCTCTCTGGTTGTCATGAGCAGGTTCCAGAGTACATGGGTTCAGTAGTTGTGGCACACGGGCTTAGTTGCCCTTAAGCACATAGGATCTTGGGCTTCCCAGGTGGCACAGTGGCAAAAAATCCACCTGCAAATGCAGGAGACTCAAGACATAAGGGTTCGATACTTGGGTTGGGAAGATCCCCTGGAGTAGGAAATGGCAACCTGCTCCAGTATTCTTGTCTGGAAAATTTCATGAACAGAGAAGTCTGGTGGGCTACAGTCAATAGACTCACAAAGAGTCAGACACAACTCGTGTGTGTGCTTATACACACACACACACACACACACACACACTACACACACATGGGATCTTAGTTCCCTGACCAGGGATCAAAGCAGCATCCGCTGCCTTAAAAGGCATATTCTCAACCACTGGGCCTTGAAGGAAGTCCCAAAACTCATAGTCTTAAGACTTTGTCAGCATACAGTGGGTAGCTTCATCTCAGAGCCATAAAAACAAGCTCCTAGGACCTTACTGAATAAATCAGAACATGGGTTTATTGATTTACAATGAGGAATGTAATAGGCATGAAGATCAGAGCACTCAACTGTAGAACAACTGAGTCATGTCTGTAGAACAACTGGGATGAGAAGTCAGATTATGATCAGAATGTTGCCTTTTAAACATGAAATCAAAGCAAGAGGAACCACTGAGATGCATCAGATGTTTAATGTCTCAGTACCCTCATCTCTGCTCTCTCCCTCAAGACATGGTGAGATGGACACTTCTTTGACTCGTTTCTTCATTTCCACTGTTGACCACCCATCACCCTTCTCTGATTGGCACTATCTTGCCACAGAATTGTTAAATGCTTTCAGTGACATCTTGCCTTGCCCTCAGTATTTTTGCTTGACTTTGCACATCTTTCTAAGTTACTCTGTGCTAACTTTGTACATTAACCTTTAGAACCTTCATTATCCTCATCACCAAGTTCTCATGGCCATTTCACCATTGTCTGCAAGAACAGCTAGACTCTACTAAGTAGTATCAATCACCATCAGGCTGTCATTGCGTGTTTTAAGATCAAACCCTCTGCCAGAACTGGAGAAGATGCACAGAGAATCTAAAACATGGTCTCTGCCTCCAGAGAACTTGTAGGCAGGAGGAAGGGAACACTGACCCATGGAACAATTCAAGATCAAGGCAGTATAAAATGAAGTCCTAAACTACATAGTATAGAAAAATAAGACAGTGGGGGAAGTAAAATGCTAGTTATCAGAGCACAAAAAGCACTAGAGAGCTAATAGATCTGTGGCATCAAGAATTCAGTCAATGGCACTTAAAAAATAATAGACTTGGAACTTTATGTATATTGGCTGAAATTGTGGTTACTCACCAGAGCTTTTGTCATAATACAGCTCTTCTCTTCCCCTCTAGCAATTGATAGAGGTTGTGAATCCAGCAGATCACCCTTTCCCTGATCCTCTAGAAGAAGGGATCTCATTTGATATTTACTCAACATTCATAGAGCCACCTCCACCATTGGATATGGAAATAAAGGTATGTTTCCTTTTGTCTCTTACTTCACTGTGTCTCAGTATGATATTCTCTAGTAGGAGAAAAAGAACCAAATGCACTTCTGTTTTCCTTCTGATCTTTCCTAGTTAAATATAAATGTTTCTTTTGGCATTGATTCACAGGTGAGCCAACTGAGGGTGATTCAGCAATTTTAATATTTTCTGCTCCACCTTCCCCAATCTCTACCTTCATTTTCTCTGAGTAGGTAAAAGTGCCGCTTACTGACCTGTCATGATGCTCATTAATAATGAAAATGCAGGAAAGCATCAAATCAAAATCCACCTAGATTGACATCATTTCTGATAGGAAAGCAGCCAAGAGAAGTCTGAGGTTACATATAAATCAGTAAAGGCTCCAGAAATTACTTGAGAGTTGTTTACATTTAATATTCTAGGGGTTGAATCAAGAACAAGGCCCTGAAGAGTCCCAGCCAGAAGCCGATACTTCAGAAACTGATCTGTTAGTTGGTTTCACCATTGAAGAGATAAAATCGGTGCTGGACCAAGTCACAGATGACATTTTAATCAGCATTCAGGTACTCAACCTTGATAGTGTGCTTACTTTATTACTTGTTAATTAGCCAACCTCAACCTTAATGTCTGTAAACACTACCCACACTCTGCCAGCAAGCGTGATGCTGATGATGGAGGAGCTCAATGTAACGTCTCCACATAACTGTCAGTTGAGTCATCTAAGACTCAGTAAGATCGCAAAATAAATTCACTAATAGCACATTTTGTGGTGTGTTACCAGTTTACAGAATCATGCAGCATCAAGACCGATAAACACATCCTGCCCAGTCACACTGACTGACTGCTCATGAAGGAGTAATAGTAGTAGACTCGTAAACAGTAAACACTGAAGCTCAGACCGTCATTCTTAGCTGAGTCTTTCCACGAAATTCCTGAAGAGAGGCTTCTTATCTTTGAACGCCTTCTCAGATAGGTGGTTCCCTTTCATGTATCAGTAAGAGCTAATGGATGTGTGAAAGTGAAAGTTGCTTAGTCGTGTCCAACTCTTTAGTGAGTAGCCCTTCTCTTCTCCAGGGGATCTTCCTAACCCAGGGATCGAACCCAGGTCTCCCACATTGCAGGCAGATTCTTTACCATCTGAGCTGCCAAGGGAACCCTAGCTAATGGATATATATATGTGTGTGTGTGTGTATATATATATATATTTATATATTAATGGTGTTTCCACTGACACCAATGGCTGCATGAAATGGTGATGACAACAGCCATCTCAGTAGCAACTGCCAATGATGAATCAGTAGGCTAGCTTTATACTTAATTTTTTTCCTGTCCAAAAAAAAGCACCATTTCTACCTCGACACAAAGGCTTGCATCATTTCCTAGGCAAAATGATTAAGAGTCATTTGCATATTTTGAGAGGATTTATAATTTCTTATGGAAATAAACATGAACCAATAGGACATTATCCTGCATGTTTAAAATATGAATGCATCTCAGGGAAAGATTCAGTTGTTTTTTTGGACATGAGACGATATATAAAAAGCACTCTGCATTAACGACAATTTAGAGGGAATAAAAGATTAGCTTGGCAATAGCATACCTTGTTACTTGTTTAATCATCAAGTGTTAATGTACTATTTACATGAACATTTAATAATTTGATGCCAACAGAATCAGCCAAAGTCCTCGGCTTAATAAGGGGTGTTTAGTGTTTACCAGAAATAGTGAAAGGACACGTTTTACACAAAGCTTTACTGTTAACAACCCCATGAATGTAATAACTGGTTACTCTGTAGAAGGGCAGAGTGCAGCTGAATTAAGCTGAGTTCAAAACATACCTCCTCTTTAGATTTGATAACATTTCATCTAAATATAGTTTATGGATAATCATGGCCCTGGGCTCCTTTGTGATCCTGTGGCTCTGAAATTATCACCAAGGCCCTAGACAGTAATAAAATTGTTTGCAGGCCCTCAAAATTGAAAACATCTTTACTGAGGCCATGTTCCATGTAGTGAGCAGTATGTTTTTTAAATATTCATTGAAATTTTTTTAATATTAAGAGTCTGTAGCATTTATATCACTACCCTTATAGCAGAAGGAATATGATGGTTCTATGTGTAAGTGTTGTCCCACTGGCCTGTAGCTATCCTTACTGGGCCTGGAAGTCCATTAGCTGGCTCATCTAAATGTAATCAGGCATAGAAAGAACTTTGGACACTGGACGACAAGATCCCCTGTCTGGTCGAGAATTAGGCATAGAAAGGACCAGAGGTAAGGGATGCAGATTTTTCAGGTGCCTTGATCATTTCCATATTAAGTAGATTCATGGACATTAGCCTGAGCCAAATTATTGCCAGTTTTTCAATAAAATGGCTTGATGATGTTTATTTATACAGTGTCTCAAGATAGCAAACCCCTTTTATATATTTTCTCTCAATAATCCTAGTAAACTCCATTTGAATTAGGCAGGCATTTCTCTAATAAGTAAATTGAAAACTGAGAGAAACAGAAATATTAAGTCATTGGTCCAGGGTTTCCAGGGTCAGAAGTTGATGAAAGACCCTGATTGGGAGCTGTGAACTGGGTTCTAGTTCTAATTCCAGTGTTATCCACAAAAACCACATAACCTCTAATATCACAACCAGACTACTTTGGTTTTTAATAGGCCAGTGGTGTGGCACTTTTTCAGTGTTTACTGTTGTGTCTTGGTCAAATTCCAAGTCGGGTAATTACTCTCTGCCTACCTAAATTTCTCCCTGTTTTAAATGGCTAAGTTATTTTCCACTTCTAAAACCTGCCTTCCAGTGTTCTTCACTCTTAAAACTGTCTCATCCCTGTTCAAAGATAGCCACTTATCAATGGTCAGTGCATATAAACCAGTGACTTGCTGTAGGAACATTTAATGAATTATTATTTGTAAGATACTTTAAATTTTCCAATAGTTTTTTCTCCTTCTTTATCTAAAAATCATACTCAAAAATATAAAATGGTAAAAATCATAGTCTATTATAATTTTTGTAGGGAAAGGCAGTAGTGAATTCATGTTTTGAGTACAGTTTTTCTCAGAGCTCATTCTCCATTGTAGTTACAAGCATATTTCACTTTCTGTAATTCAGAAATTTCTGAAAATAGTGTGAATCCTTAAATTTTTTATGTTAATCTACTTACTTTCCCATTGACTCACTTTATAGCTTCAGAAATTTATTAAGAATGAAGTTATCTTGGCCTTGAGATGTTAATTAAAATTATACTGAATAGAGCAAACATTTTAAGCTTATATAGCCTAGGTATTTTAATTTTAAAGATACATTTAAAATGAAATTAGTTTGGCCCTGAGTTATATAATAAAAATTATACCCAATGGAGCAAACTTTAATATATTTAAAGAATTATATTTCAGAGAAATATGAGTGCTAGCACTAAATTCTTGCATTCGTATTTCAGAGAAATATGAATGCTAGCACTAAATTCTTTCATTAAATGTTGGCTGTTGGCCCTATCTTAAGCAGTAGAGTAAAATAATGTGAAAACCTTAAGAGAAGTTTGCCATCTTGGGACCATAGGTATTTTTAGGTCAACTTCCCAGGTTAGAAAATCTAAGTGGGAAATCACGTCAAGAAGTGATCACTGAGAGGCTGTTAGACCCAGGTCATGGATTTTCCATTCTTTCCTAAAAGCCAATAGAACCATACCCTATCCTGGGGCTTGTATATAGCCCATTTGGTCATCAGTGTTCTGAGGATTAACATGGAGACACTGTAGACCAAGGACAACCTGTTCTCAACCAAATGGGGGATCTTGTCGTCCAGTGTCCAAAGTACTGATCACCATGGTCTGGAGATCTGAGATGTGTCCCTCGGTCAGCACAGCTCTAGCAGGCATGCTCCTGACCTTCAGGAGCCTTTCCCCAGAGCCCTCACTTGCTGGCAGCCAATTCTATCTCAGTGAAATACCAAAAGACCTCCAGGTTAATGTGAAAACCCTGACGAGATACGGAAACAGAAGCTGGAAGCTAATAATACGTCAGTTCCTTAGTTAAAAAGAAATGAGATTATTGGTGGACCTAAAATACATTTAATTGAAAGTGGGAAGAGTCAATTGTCTAGTTAAACCAGTGCTTCCCAATCCTTTGGAACTGTAACAGAATCATTTCTTCAAACTATTTCATGCCCTGTATGATATAATATATAGCCTGCCATAAAGAAATAGAAGTAATATTTTTTTAAAATATAGCATAATATCATGATAATGAAATAGTATAACATCAGTGAATATATCACAGAATTGGGAGTTAGAATTATGAATTTAAAAGTTAACACACTTGGAATTATGAATTTAAAAGCCAACATCCATGAAATTTAACATACTTAATTTTAAACTACTTAATTTTTCGATGAGACCTAAAGGTGGTTAAGTGGCCTGCCCAAAGCTGCGGAGCTAAACTAATCCCTAGGTCTCTGCATTCCTAGACCCTTCCTCCTTTCAGCTCTCCCAAAATTATGCCTGATGGGATTATAGGTTCCTAAAAATAAGACATTTCTTTTGTAACCTGGACAGCCATGCTCATCCCTCATTGCCTCCTTCACTTAGCACCAAGAAAGGAAAAGAGGAAAAGCCAGAGGGCAGACTTGACCCCAGGACTTGATAAAACTTGAGCCAAAAAAGACATACTCGTGCGAGAACCCAGAATTATTGGCACCAATGTGATCTTTTCAGAAATAGTTGCTCTTTACTGTGAAAGTGAAACAGTATCTCATCAGATAAGGCAAGCAGGTGGACCTTTCAAAACTAGCTGTTATAATTACACTTATAAATAAATAAATAACAATGAAGTTATATTTGGACCAAAATCAGTATTTGATTTTTTAAATTTCTTCTATATAAATTTAAATGTTTTTTTAAAATAGTTACCCTGATGACCTTAAATTAGGTCATAGGCATTAAAATTCTACATTTCTAATTACTTATTAACATTTATGTGTATGAACTATTCGTCATATGCTTGTTGACTATTTTAAATCACCTAAACGAAGGCCCCAGTTTTACCATGCCACTGGTTTCTCTATACATAATTTTATAATCCATCATGAAAAAAGGAAGACATTTCCAGGGCTACAAATGTTCAGCTAATGTGAAAATATTTTTGGAATTGCGCAGGTAGCAATGTTAGTCCACAGAATATCACTGCCAGAGGCTAAACGCTATAATAGCCACAGCAAACACGAAAACCTGCCAGCCGCTGCTTACTTTTTTATACCAAAACTGTATCACAAAGGGCATAATTTCAAGAGTTGTATATGTGGCAAATACTCTTTAATTATGAGAATCATTCTAATTGTGAGATTATTTGTGTTATGATTTCATAACAGAAGCTTTCTGGGATCCCAATTAGAATGTATTACACGGAGACAAAAACATCCATTGCAGCGGGGCGCAGAACCAACAACACTGCAGTAACTGGGCCGAGAGCAGTCACCCTGATTCGGCGCTTGTTGGTGAAGTCTGTCTGAAAATGCAGACAAATTAGCCTATCTTCCAACACAAGCCTATGTGAAAAATGCTGTCCAAATACCACTTCCTGTTCATAGCAGACATGCTATACATTGGGAATGTGCAGAGAAATATGATAAAGTGTTATCACATCACTACAGGCTGAAACACAGCTATGTCTGCAAAACAGGAAGGTGTGTGAGGGATAATGTCTGTCTTCAGGCACTATAGTATGTCAAAACCACAAAGACAATGTGCAGCAAAAGATAGCTCCATCATAACCACTTTTTTATGATTGTCTTCACAGACCGAGATAAACGAAAAGCTGCAAATGCAGGAAGAGGCCTTTAATGCACGAATAGAAAAACTGAAAAAGGCCTGAGGACTCCGAATCGGGAGAGTGATACTAAAACTTCACAAAACAAAAAAACCCGGCTGGAATCATAGACTCTCTAGAGCACCAGATCTCCTTCATTTAGTTGAGCGAGGAAAACCAAGCCCCACTTTTTATTATCCTAACTAATTAGAAAAGTATTGGCCCCAATTTCTCTATCTCCTGTCCCATAACAACCTCTGAATTTATTGCACTGTGTGTAATAAGAACATTTTTATATAAGAGTTTGGAGAACCATATATAAAAATACAATTACTTTTATAATACTCTTTTGACATTTTGACTAGTAAAGTTATTCATCTTCGAGGAGAATGAAGTCAACATTTTAAAATAAAGAAGAAGAGTGATTTTATCCATATTGACCCAAATGAACTGCCACATTGCTGAAGCCTTGTGAACACAGACCACCACCATACTGCTGAGGGTAAAATTTGCTAAACAATAGCAATTCAAATGCATGTACTAGGTTTTTTTTTTTTCCTCCTTAAATCAGTTGGTTTTCTTATTTAAATGTTTCAGTGTGAAACCAATTTTCTGAAATTATATAATGCAGTTTGAAGCACTTTAATTTATTCTGTACTGTATTTGTTATTTCTAATCTTGTTACTCTCCCGGGAAAATACATGACCTATATAAAAAGAAGCAATGTATAAATGGTTATTAAAGGCCAACCTATATATAGATTGTAAAAATCTTAAATACAAATCAAACTCACAGAGCTCTTAAAATTAACCATTATATTACAGTAGAATGATTGGAAACATCTCAAGCCTTTAAATACCATTATTAAAAATATAATTTCAAAAGTAAATATCCATTTGCCAACTGATTGTCCCTAGTTTGGCAAATTAAATTGACTACTACCTCAGCCCTTTCCCAATTTCTGAGACTTCAGAGTGTTCTAGAATGTAGAGCATTGCAAGGAGGGGACCATTTCTTCAAGAAGTTTCCAGTTTATATTGCAACCAAATGTACTTGCATCTGGGTGGCGCTTGGCCGAATATGTTCTGTCCGTGCTCTGAGCTTGGGCTATAACCTTGCTTACTGCATCAGTACCAAGGGGACTGCCCAAAATATATTCATTTAGGGCAGAGACAGATCTGGAAGCATTTGGTCTTTTTAACTACACTGATCAGCAAAGTAAGAGAAGTCCTTAAGATGAAACTGTGTTTTATTGTTCATGCAGTTCTGAGTCTGGAAGGCCTGAATGAGCTAAGGTTTCTTGAGCTGTCCTTCCTAACTGAAAATGCTGATGGCCACCAGAGATCACTAGAAAGGCTCACAAGTCTTAATTTCATCAATCCGTCTTTTTTCCAGGGAAAACAGAGGTGAAACTAGAGAAACCACAAATAGGAAATAAAGGAGCTTCTTAAAATACCGTACAGCTTCAAATGCAACCATTGGCGCAACAGTGGACCTCCATTTCTAATAAAGAGTGCTGATTTTGAGCAAAGGTACAAAGAGTTCAAAACTGAATAAAAAATAAGCAGTTGGATCCCTAAAAAATACACAAAAACAATACGCTATATGAACGCTGAAACCCAGCCTCTGGAGTAAGACTCCCAGGGTCTGATGTGTGACTTTGGACAGGCTGCTCACCCTCTAATTGGTCATCCGTTAAGTGAAGGTAATACTTATTTTTTGCGATTGTTCTGATAACTCAATAAATTCACATTAAAGGATTTTTTTTTAAGGTTTGGTTTCTGTTTACCTCTTAGGATAACCCAAAACCCACTGCCCATCCCTGATACCTACTGTCCAGTTGTTTGGGGCAACCACCTTGCCAGACTTCCCAGCCTTCTCTGTCTCTCCACTGGAACATGTGGATCAGTACATCCCCCCGTGGTAACTAACTTGTCACCCTGTTTTCTTATGTCTTTAGTGTTGGAGCAGCCCAGGGATCCCTACAATAGCCTGACTGTAACATCTAATAATAGGAGAAAGAGCAATTGTAGTAGCAGTAACTACAAATTTTAATTCACAGTCTCTACTCTTCTAAATTAATTTTGAATCAGTAAAGCAATATATGCACGCTATTACCAAAAAAAGGAATAAAACAGTGTAGACAATGAAAAATAAATTTCACCCTGGCTAGGTACCTTCATTTCTTTTCCCATGAGGCAACCACAGCTTTCAGTAAGTCCATGGGAAAATATTTTTTGCCCATTTAAACAACTGGATACTTGTATAGAGTGGTCTTCTTTAAAAACACACACACACAGTTTGCATTGTTCTTTACATTGCTTTTTTTGTGAAATAATGTATCTTAAGATAATTCTCTAGCAGTATTTTTTAGTGACAGCCCATGGGGTTTGTAGAGTTGGATGTGACTGAGCACACACTTTTTAATGACTACGTATTGAGTATTTCATTTTAGAAATTCCATAACTTTTTAACTATTTCTATTAATGGACTTTGTATTGTTTTCAGTGCTTTTGCTTGGAGAAGGAAATGGTAACCCACTCCATATTCTTGCCTGGGAAATCCCATGGACAGAGGAGCCTGGTGGGCTACAGTTCATGGGGTTGCAAAGAGTCGGACATGACTGAGAGGCTAACACACACTTCTGCTATCACAGTGTCATGTTGCCATCTGTGTGAACATGTTTGATTATATCTCAGGAATGAATTCCTAAGGAGATAAATTTCTAGGTCAAATTTTATTTGTATTTCCAATTTTGATAGATATTGCCAACGTGCCTTCCAAGGATATTTTACCAACAGTGTATGATAACTCTTTCTTTACATCATTAATAACAGATGCATTAGACAGTTTTTTAACTTTAGTATTCTGATAGAAAATGCTGTCAAACTCTTGCTTTAATTTGCTTTTACTGCTTTACCTCACAAAGACTGAGCAGCTTTCATATGTTTATAAGCAAATTTAAATATCTATGTATATATGTATACATATATATATATATTGTGTATGTACATTTAAAGGCTTCCCTGTTCAGACAATAAAGAATCTGCCTGCAATGCAGGAGACCCGGGATTGACCCCTGCATCAGGAAGATCCCCTGGAGAAGGAAATGGCAACCCACTCCAGTATTCTTTCCTGGAAAATTCCATGGACAGAGGAGCCTGGCAGGCTACAATCCATGGGGTGGCAAAGAGTCTGACATGACTGAGCAACACTTTCACTTTCATATACTTTTAATCCTCCTAATAACCCTAAGAGATAGACAGATATTACTAGCCTAATTGTATAGTTAAGGAGCCTGAAGCTTAGAGAGATGACTAACTTGAACCGAATTGCACAATTGACAACTGACAGATCAGGGCTTGAAATCCAGGTATGACCTGTTTTGCAGATGAGGAAACTGGAACAGAGAAAAAAATTTAAGTACCTTTCCAGTGATTACACAGCCAGTAATGGTTGAACCAGGTTTTGAACTTAGGCTTGTGTGATTACAAAGCCCATATACTTAACCTTACCTTCATCCAGCTATATCATAGTCGATATGAAACAAAGGGAAAACTGACCATTTGGGGTTTTAGTTATAATAAGGGAACAAACTTATTTGTATTGTAAGCATATTAAGTATTTAGAAAATGTATGCAGGGATGGAATGCATGACCCAGCTCCATTTGTTCATTTATGTACATGCTGTATATTCATTGAGTACCTACTACATGCCCAGGCATTTAGTAGTGAGACAAACAGACAGGGCCTGTGTCCTAATAATCTAGGAGAGTTCAGTTCAGTTCAGTCGCTCAGTCATTGTCTGACTCTTCAAGACCCCATGGACTGCAGCATGCCAGGCCTCCCTGTCCATCACCATCTAGGAAAGGGAGACAGCCAATGCTGACTATGATAAAGACAGGTTTCAGGAAATTATGAGCATATTGAAAAAAAGAACTTGATCTAGTCTGGGAGATCAAGGAAACTTCTCACATGTTTTGCCGCTTGAGACACAAGAGGTAGGATTGTGAGAGGTAGGATTCAACTTCACATAAGGTGGAAGAAGATGGATTTCAGGCAGAGAGAGAGAAAAGCATGTGCAAAGTCCCTGAGGTGCAGAGGAGGCTGTACAACTGGTCATAGCCAGAGCTCTCTAAGGGAACTGTAGCCCCACAGTACAGATTTTTATTTTTACCCTAAAAGCAATGGGTTACTTGTTGATAAGTTTTAAGTAGTCAGTGACATCAGATTCATATTTTTAAAAGGTCATCTCCCAGATGCCAGGACTTCTATACATGGAGGCATGGAAAAGAGTGAATTCTCATAAAAGCTATAGCTCCACTTCTTAGCAGTTGCTAAGAGTGGGAGAAATAAATAATATTTTTTACTTTTTTAGTCACAGGGTCCACCTACTCTTCGCAGTCTTTGGCACAAAGGCAGCCCTCTGAGGAGCCACCTGAATAACAGTCACAACCTCTCACGTAGACACGTAGCAGCCTTGTTCTTACCATCCACAGTGAGATAGCTTTTCTCCATTTGCAGGAATAATTTGCAGTGATTTTGTCCTCATCCAAACAGAAAGTTTCAAATAGAAAATATACTCATGATGATACAAGCAAGTCACAGACTGCCACTCTTTCAGGTATTTGCAGGCACTGTTGCACCTAAATATAGCTGTGGAGTCATTTTTCCAAAATCCGAATATAAAGCCCTTATTTCTCTCTTCCATTTGATTGGAACCATTCAACCATCCTGGTAGATAATAAGTTTGCATGTTCTTAGATTGCATTTCATTATGCTTCAGTTCCCCTAGAGAAGAAACGTGCTACTTTTCTCAACAATTGCAGAGGAGAAATACTTATGATATCTCAAGTTTCAGGGTCTCAGGAAGATGTCCCTCCTCTGGACATCAAAATCTTTTCTTTCCTGGACATTGGTTTGTTAAATAAGAGGAGTCAGGACCTCTTTGTAGCAGCCAAAATAACTGTTAGTTTAGGTTTCCTAAACAAAAAGGAATCTAAATCAAAATAATACCATCTTGTTGGAATTCAAATTTCAAAATTAAGACAGAATATGAAAAATTT